GTATAGGCATGTCAACAATCTTCGTACAGTGTAGCCTGACATCCCTCCACTTTTCACGACAGGCGGTAGAGTACAATGCGCCAGCGAAGCAGTTAAAGCCCTGCGGCTACCATACGCCACAATTGTTGAACTCGCAGCCTCTACCTGTCCCATAATGTCGTGCACATTACCGACTGCATCGTTTACACATGTAATCTTCAACCCATCAGTCGTGCTAAGGAAGTTACTGTCACTACGCGATCATAGCTCTCCGGGAACAGACAACATCCGCCCGAAGGCACTGAAGGCTGCGGCCAACAAGCTAGCTGAACCACTGTCACAGTTCTTCCAAAGGTGCTTCGATGAACAACAAGTCCCCACTATGTGGAAGCGTGGCATTATCACCCCCAATTTTTAAAGGCGGTAGCCGTTCAGATCCTGCAATCTATCGCCCAGTGACTCTCCTCCCTGTGCTCACGAAGGTGATGGAAGCGGTCATTGCTGAGGCTCTAATGGACTACCTGGAAAAATGCGACATCTTGACACCGGAGCAGCATGGCTTCCATCAGCGCCGGTAATGTACCACCAGCTTGCTGATTACAAGAGGTAGTTGGACGGAAGTGGCTGACGATGGGGTCGGCGTTGAGGTCAACTGTCTGGACTTCTCCAAACCTTTCGACCGCCTTGATCACCGCATCCTACTTCACCCGCTACAGAGCTACGGTATCGGAGATCCTGTACTTGTTTGGATTTGGAACTTTCTTCACCAACGGAAGCTTCAGGTGCGTGTAAGAGGATCACTCTCTAACCCGGTTGAGGTGGAATGCGGTGTTCCACAAGGCTCAGTGCTGGGACCGTGCTTATTCTTGGTGTTTATCAACGACCTGCTTTCCACCGATGACGTAAAGATATGGCGGGCGATAAGAAACAATGTAGATCAAGATCTAGTCCAAACATGACCTAAATTGCATTTATGAATGGTCAAACGGGAACCTGCTTCAGTTGAACATAGCTAAGTGCAAGATGATCCATTTGCGTCACCAGCCGGTGACGGCTTACAAGCTTGAAGACCACAATTTGGAGAAGGCCTATCAGGAGTGTGACCTGGGTGTATTGGTACAGGAAGAACTCGGGTGTTCAATACAAGCAGAGAAGGCAACGAGAACCGGCAAACAACACTTCGCCCTGCTTCGCAGAGCGTTCGGTCGATTTGAACCCTCAATCTTTCCCCAAATGCTTAACGCCTCCGTGCGACCGCACGTGGAATATGTTATCTAGGCATGGCAGCCGTGGCAGAAACAGGATCACGTTGCTCTCGAGACTCCTCAACGAAGGGCAACCAAGAACGTTAGAGTCTTCTTTCATCTGCCTTATCAGCTTAGACTGAAATCTCTGAGAACGTACATCCGTCGATATCGGCTTTTGCGAGGGATCTCATAATGGTTTATCAAATTCTGAAGAACCCAAACCACATTTGCCCTCCGCTGTTGAATTGAACCACAACACTAACCTAAGAGGTCATCCTCTGAAACTGAAAATACAATATAGTCGACTTGAATGCCGTAGAAATTTCTTCTCCAGCCGCATGTGCCAGCCTTGGAACGCCCTCGCTAATTATGTTGTCTCTGCTCCCAATCTGACGATATTTAAAAACGAATTGATGATGCTTTGTCTCATTTGTATTGCATTTTATTAATTGTTAGCCAAGGGCTACAAAAAGCAATCAAACGGTGTCTTACTAAACTCTCAACCAATGGGTTTATGGATTTATACTGTTAATACGAGAACATCACCACTATCCTACAAAAGTCTATGGGAGTTCACAAGAACGCTTTTCACTTTATTATGCAATTTACTTTTAGCAATAAGTTCCATCCCACGGGACTGGTCAAGCTGTGCTTTTTTATTACCCGTAATACACCATTGTTCCATTGTTCCCAAGCATTCCGACTCGCACTTGCAGAGGGCCACTAACCTAGCTTTTGGAAAGTAGGAATACTAATGCCTACATACAAAGGAGATGACAGGCAGAACTCAGCGAACTACCGGCCGACATGTCTGACGTCTCTTTTCTGATGAATTATGTTGAGAACATTCAAGCGCGCTCTCAGCGCTCACTGAGAAGACTTATGCGCAATATCCCAATCACAACACGGATTGCGTAGGACATGATCCTACATCACTAACCTGCTTGCTGCTAGAGAAGCATGGGTTAAAGCAGTGGATGAGAGGAAAGACCTTGCTGGCGTCTTCATTGACTTCAGCAAGGTATTTGACAAGGTGCCACATAAACGGGTTCTGTTCAAACTGCAGGGAGTTGATGTCACCAGAAACCTCTTGTCCTGGATTTCAGAGTTCCTGGAAGCATGAAACATTCAAGTGAAGGTGAACCAAGCACTCTCTGTTCCTGCGCTTATAACCAGTGAGGTTCCTCATGGCTCCGTACTTGGACCAGAGCTGTTTAAACTGTGCATCAGCGATCTTCCAAGAAAACTTCAAACCGGCTGTTTAGCCTAAGATGATGACCTCCAACTGTGGTCTGAAATATCTTGCCCCGAGGATGCCGACAGACTTCAAGCTTCGCTTGACCAATTGCAAAACTGGTTCGCTGAGTGGCGACTCTCGGTAAACCACGACAAATGTGCCGTTCTCCCGATTGTTGGCCTGGATCCTTTCAGTGGGTATCATATCGGAGGACATCTCCTCAAGTCTATCACACATGAGAAGTACCTGGGAGTCCTCGTCTCGCACAATCTCAAGACATCACTTGACACACAGAAGAAGGTCGCGGCACCCAACCGCATGCTCTGGGCTTAGCGAAGATCGTTCTGCAAAATTACGCCGGAGATCTTTAGAACGCTGTTCGTTTCGCATGTCTGCTGATTCTAAGATATGGTCTTCCGGCCGCTTACCCCCTAACGAAATCCGAACATGATCTGACAGCGAAGGGGCGGAGGCGCGGTTCAAAATCTCTATCGGCGCTTCGGGATCTTACATGCTCCCTTCGACTTAAGACTTTGAACCTGTTCTTCATGGAAGATGGCCACTGTCGCGGAGATCTCTACACCAGACGCATGCTAAGGGGAGAGCCTGATAGTGAGCTGCAGCTGTTCTTCCATCTAACTGTGAGCAGCTCGACAAGTGGTCACAAATGGAAACTTTTAAGTCGAGGACACTTCGCGCCCGTCAGCAAGCTGCTCTGTCTTCCAAATTGGTAAATGATTAGAACAGTCTGTCAAAACACGTCATTGACTCGGAGACAGAGAAAAATTTCAAGCTATCGCTAGACACCCATCTAACGCACGTGGCAGGGTCCTGTCGCTGTTCAAAGATGATGATCTCCGAAGGAGTAACGTTTCCCGACAGCAAGCACCCATCTTGTGATGATTCGGAACCGATGGAGTTGACAAGAGATCGCCCCCTGCTCTCAGTATTCCAATGTATTGCGATATATATATATATATATATATATATATATATATATATATATATATATATATATATAGCCAATCGGCGCAGGTCAAGTCTCGCGATCCTACAGCACGGAAGCTCGTACTTTAGACGTACCCTTTGATGGAGAGGCCGATGTCATGGTGGCGCCATAAATGCCTCAGCCTGGATAAGGTGAGACGAGCTCTTGACATGCGCATCGAGATCTCGTTTTCAACAGCCCCATCATCAATGATGCAGCTTCCCAGATAGACAAAATTGATAAGGGATTGCTTCTTATCCCTTAACAGTTGCGACTAAAGCCTTTAGGAGTTTTGAGGGAACAATATCTTCTTTTGCGAGATGACCAAACGCTTGTATATCAGATCCTCAGGGACTCTAACGACTCAAGCCGACCCTTATTGAAACTTAGCCTCGACACCACAATGCGAGGCCATGATTTTTAAGTTGATGACACAGTATAGCCGGTTGGAATGCTACCGGAACTTCTTCTCCATTCTTGTATATCAACCGTGGAACTTACTTTCGCATTTTGTCACTCTGATCCTACATTGTTAGAAATAAAAACGCGGGTTAACGATGCACTACACCACCTGCGTTACATGATTTTACCCAAGTTACTGAGGCATGCAACAACCTAACCAAACAACGTGTACACGTGCAAGTTGCGGTAAGTGCACCACCACGCCAAATTTTGTTTTGATACATCATTGTTCACCTCACTTTACCCACAAAACTTAACTGTTGTGCTTTTTTATTCTTAATAAATCCATTTATCCATAGTTCCATCATAGTTTTGTTTTTGGTTATACTCAAATAATTCTTTGAAGCTGAATGAAATCGAAAGTAGTGTGTGTTGGGAGTGAGCAATATCCACTATTAGGTTGCGGAAAAAATGTTTGTGTTTGCATATGTTAAGTCATATTTATTCAGCGGCTTCAGTGAAACGAGGGAAGCAGTGACTGATGCTATGTCATGAAATTGAAAGTCAAGCCCGGCTCCATTCACGTACTGTGAGTACTGTAATATAATGGAACACGGTAGTCCAAGCCAGCATGGATTCTAGGGCGCACTAGTTGTTAGGGTTTTCATGCAGACTTCCGTTCGGGTATAGTTAACCGTTTGCAGAAAGCCAGTGGCTTACACTTTCGGCTTATTTTGATGGTTTTGTAATCCCATACTGATCGATCGAGTCAAACTAACTTGATTAGCACTAAGTGAGGTTACATGCTGATATCACACTGATCCACGTGTTTTTCATTTCTTCGTGGCAGTCACTATTATTTGGATACGAATGGTAACAGCCAACTGAGAAATGTGTGCAAAGATCCTTTCTTTCACCCTACATTTGAACCCCGGTTAGACATGTATGCGAGTGCTGGTCGTTGTCAGTGGCATTAAGAAGAATCATGAAATGTTAGCACCCCATAACTTACATGGTCTTTCTGAGCTTGCTAACTACAGACATACATCTAAGGCGAATGCAATTAGACGGTGCTTCGATGGTCTACTACCTCGGTAACAAAACAATTTGAACGGTGAAATCGGAATGGAATATTGAAGTAACTCACCTGTTGCATTTTCCAAGTGCATTTGTTCAGTACTGTGGACACGAGTACCAGTCGATGTTTTGCATATCTTCGTTCACCAATCAATAAGAATTTCAGCAGACAGTGATATGGGAAATTTAGTTGCCAATTACATGGGAATCTCCTGACACATGAGGTGAGAAAGTGAGGAGGAAACCTCTCAAGAGACTACTCCGCATGGAAGCGGGTCCCCAGGAGACGGTTCAACGTATGGTAGTATTGCTTGACTTGAATCGCTGGCTATACCTACATTTATTCCTACGCTCCACTTTCCGCATTTTTATTACTTTAAAATAATTGAACACCGCATAAACTTCTTTGAGACCCAAAATCTCTACCACCCGAGCATGTTTTAAATAATAAGCAGACAATGTATTTGGTCTGTGTCTCGCATCGTACGGTAATATATCATTATTTATGAAAAGGCCTCTTATGCGAGACGTTAAGTAAGGTCAACCCATCTATCTTTCCACCAATGTCGAAGGCCTACTTGAGGCCGCACTTGGAATACACCGTTTAAACAAGGCATCTCTGGAGCAAACACGATATTGATGAGGTTGAAACTTCCTAGCGTAGAGCGACGAAATCCGTTAGGGGTTTGATCGACGTCTCCTACTATCATAAATTGCAAGCTCTAGGCTAACACGACGGTAAATATCGGCAACAACGAGAACTTATCATGGTGTACTAACTACTGGCGAACCTTAACCACGCCTGTCACGATCTGTTGTAGCAACTACAATATAAAACTGAAAAGTCACCAGTTCATAGTGTCCATGCAATGCAGTTAACTTGATTGCCGGCGAAATGTTTACTGCCTTCGGGTATCCCAAACATGGGACGCTATTCAAACGTATGTTTATGCTGCCCCCATCAACACTTTTATGAAGACGACTTGACGACACTCTGTCTCATTAGTAAATAGTAGGGGAATTATTTGGTCATTTGTGAAGATTCGTCGCAGATTTACTCAGGCAAACAGCCACCACACATCCCGGAAAGCGCTAGACGGCCGTTTCGTCTTATTGAGCGCACTCGCCAAATTCCACCGGATTCCAACCCAAGACCTTACTCTTGCGAGTCAGTGACTTATGCCCCTGAACCATGGGTTAGGGCAGCTGACCGCCATGACTGATTTCTAACTGGGATATAGCGCGTCAAATCCTCAACGGTCATACATGCTATGAACTTGAAGAGGACAGGGCTGACCCCAGAACCACGAATTCCTGTCCCATTTACGATGCCTGGTGTAGTTCGTTTTAATCGAAAGACGAAATAACCAAATAAATAGTGTGTTCACCAGCCGAGTTTGTAACGTAGCAGTGAAGAGACCAGCATATATGTTCATGTGAATGACAATGAACCACCATGAACCCGAAGTTCCCCATTTTTCCTGTCATTTTGGACCTTGATTTTATTACCCTGCTACCTATCACCTTAAGAGACTTGTAAAACTTTTGTTATTTTATCCGTTATAAATAATTGTTCCTTGATACGAAATATACATTGCCACATCTGATTGATGTGGCATTCACACTGTTATCACAGCCGGCAACTTTATAGTGTATGCAATCTGGCTATTGTGATGTGGCGCAAAGAATAAATAGGAGAAGACGACGGGACGTGAGTTGCAAGACCTTAGTTTCCAGAGGATATTCGAGTAAATAAAAGAAGTTTCGGTCACGATTGGTTTAGATTAAAATACGGTACTCTAAACGATAGTTTCACTGTTCACTTGACAGGAAGAAGGATAAGTCTTAAGCGGAGTGAGTATCTGATTAATTGGTTGTAAAGCTAATTGCCATCATATGTTGGTAGATGACGTGCATTGTGGTCCCCGAGTTTAAACACACATACACCGTGAGTAGAGTAAGACTTTATAGAGTGCGAAGTACTGAGGACATAAGAATGCAGTCCCATAATATCGAGTTTCGACTAAAGCGTGTAGTGGCCGCTTGAGTGGTTACAGTTATGAGGAACCTTGTTTAAACCTTCTGCTTTTCAACCAACTCAAACAGTTGGGTAAAACTCAATCGGTGAACTGAGTAGCTTAAACACAATGACAACCGACTGCAGATTAGGACCGATACAAATGATTAACGTGCTCTATTCAACTCCATGAAAACACCACACAACACAATGGATACACCTTTTTGAACATGAAACCATGAAAAGGATACTCGCTTAGGGTCCTTGTAGTTATACTGCACCTCAGTATTTGTTGAATTTGGGCACTGGTCGCAACAGCCACTCTGCATTTCGCCAACCACTGAATTGACTGAGCCCAGAGATCGCTTTCCACAACACTGCTTACCTTGCTGCTGTCCTTCATCTGCGCATCGCTGTGTTCCGAATCAGATGTGCTCCAAGGTGACTCGGAATGTACATGTTTACTACTGCCTCCGCTCTCATTGGAACTGACACAGTCCACCTTTTGGGCTACCAGACCACTGCGTTTATGCAGATTCTTGGTAACAATCTTTGTATCTGTGTGGCCAACAGTATGGGCGTTGTTTGTGATTGGTATGCTCCTTGAATGGCGATCTGAGAATCTGTAAGTATTGAAGTCACTGGATGAGCATCCTGAGGTAAATGAGGTGTCATCTTCATCATTCGACTGGGACGACGAAGAGACACTTGTTGGAGAAGCACTTGCTACTTTCTTTGAACTCGATAACGTGTTTCGGGCATTCGCTCCAGCGGAAAAGACCGCCGGTGATCCGCGGCTGAACGCGCTACCTTGGACCAATTGCATTGTTCCCATGGGGTAGTTGTAAGCTGACTTTGGTGGCTGGTGTGATAAATTTCTCACATTGGCGGTTGCACCTGTTTCACTGCCGATTGAAGAACCAGATAAGGAGTCCGACGATGAGCCACGACTGCTACGACTACCGCTACTACACGAACAATTTCCACAGCTGAGTTTCATGGCAACTCCTGTGTGACTTTGAGACCGTGGCTGCAGCTCGTAGCTGACAAGAGAACCCGAAGGTGTATTTGCCACCCCAGTTCTTTCCGGATGAAAGGATTGTCTTAGCGATTGATCAGATAAGTTAACAGGCGACGATAGAGAATCACTCTTACTCATCATTTCATTTGGCATCACCGCTTTATATTCTACTTGATCCGCCAGAAAGCTTTTTGTCTGGACTTCGTTTGTTTTGTCATTCGAGGCTGAAAGAGCGGAGGAGCACGTAGGACATGAAATTTTACTACGTAAATTAAAGCAGCCAGTTCCCCTCGTTAGCATAAATAGTACCGTAAAACAAACGATTTTTCTGATAGCATACCAATTATTATGTAGAGCATTCAAAGGCTATTTCTCTTCTTGGGCATAAAGGAATCGTTACTGAACAAGTAGATATTGCAGTCTTTATTGTGTGTTACGCACCTTCAAGGCGCAGAGGACTAAGCTGACACAACACCAGCCTATGAATGCGCTAATGAAGAGTAGAATCGGTTGATCATTTTGCTTAGATGGATAGCCGTCTCACCTCCCATTATAGCATCGGCAACGATGATGTTTCCCGGTTTGGTAAGGTAAGCATGATTTTCTATCGTATGGTCTACTCTAGTCAAGTCTTCAAATCATTTGCCCTCCGACTGAAGCGTAAAATTATCCGATCTTACCAGCTAACCAGCTTAGCTACAGAAGTTTATCGCCGAACACCACCGGAGGTATTCTGCCAACATTACTATCTTCAACATACACTGTTCTAATGTCTGCCCCTGAAAACTTCCATGTTTATGCAGATGACGTGGTCTTAGGTCATAATCACCAAACTTGAGCCATATCACCTAAGTAAGGATTTGTTTACATAATCTCACAAATTGCGTCAAACTTTGACGTCATTTGCTGAACGCATCAAAATATGACAGCATAATTTTCTCACTGCGCAAGGTTTTTTTTATCAACAACTCCTGACCGACCGTTTGTATCCTTCCATCCATGGCCTAAATATTTACCCCACGATATCAGTAAAGTATTTCTGGATTACATTGAGCAACGATTTATCGTGGTCAGTTCATGTGAATATAATCACAGACGCAGGGGACCGTCGTTCTGCGCACTTCGGCTGGAGTGTGTCCTTGTCTTTGACTGCTTGTCTCAATGAATGCCCAACAGATATGTTCTGCCCCTTCTAGGTGTTTACTGAGTACCTTTTATAAAACATTTTCGAGTAGATCTCTGTACTTCGAGGTACCTGTTAAGCGTGATAAAGTGCCACGCTACATTAATTTTGGTCATGCCAATACTTTGCAACCAACCTCAGCCCCTGGAAACAAATATAGGACAGACAAACGCCAAGGGCCGCTTACCACAAATTTTGCACTTTGAAAATGGTGCCACCTCATTTTGACAGTCCAGACAAAGATAACTCAACTGGAGTTCAAATCATGAGGATTGTCGACAGATGGTCACACCGTGACATTTGCAAGTTCCCTCGCGACTATTGTTATCACCTCAGATGGCTAGGCATTTGGTTTTCGGAATACCCGTTCTAGGTATTGATTGACACACCTATTTAAGTATCAGCTCTTCCGTCTTTATCCAGAGCGTTCAAACAGAGAAGAGGATGGCTACTCAGCGCATTGTTGTGGTCAGTTACAACTAGTAATCATCAACCGATCAGGTCCAATTCGCTTCAATCGTGTTCAAAATTTATTTCATGCCTTGCAGTCCATTCACTGAACAGCTACTTTAATTGGAATCTCAATGTTTCCTAAGCATTTACTTGCAAAATATGAATCAGCAGCTGGGATAGTATCTGGAAGAGATACCGATGCACTACACTCTCCTTCCCATGACACACCCTTGGGAAGCAAGGCAGGCCTCCTGGTTTTAAACAGAAATACCAAAGCCCCATAAACATCGACATTTGGCTGAACGGTTTAGAACTCCCCTCGGTTAAATTCGTCTCTACTCATTTAGGTCCTAAGGGGATGGAACAAATATATGGTTCCAGACCCCAGTCTGGAAAACCAGAAAAGTACAGAGTGAGGCATAGGGTACAAGACAACTTAGTCTCATGATAGCAACGTTGAACCAAGCCAATTATAATGCTTTACAGACTTCATTTGTATGATGTCTCAGCATACATATTAAACCCAAATTAGGACTAATCTTAGTGACACAGTCTGACATTAACTCACAGTTTGAGGTTGACACTCTTCCGTGACCAGATCGAACACTGACACGGCGGCAGAAATTTGCAAACTTTTTTGATACCGAGGACCCGAGGTCGGTCCCAGGAGTGCTGGGAAGACTTGATTTCTCCTGTTTAAGTGACGGACATTCGGATAAACGCCGAACAGACGGAAAGATTACTGTGATACCGCTTGGACGCCTTGTTGACGCAATATTCTCTAATTTAGAAGGAAATTTGCGCTGTCTTGAGAACCATTTGCGAATGCCACGGTTTTCATGAGAATCGGAAGATTTCTCGGGTTGGGGAGACAGTGGTTGACCTTTAATAGAGCAATCCCGGTTTGGTGTCCGTAAAAAGTAAATGTGAAAGTTGGTGATAAATTCCGTAATTCAGCGATTTGAGTCAAAAAATAACCAGTTGTGTACGGTGGCTTGAAGTGGCATAATTCTTTTCTACCCTCACATCTAGAAACATACACCGTCCACTCCTGATTATCAGCATATAATGCTCGGTACAGAATTACCAGTGAAGTGAGCAGAATCTAGGCTGTATTCTCATTTCACGACTCTAACCCCAATTGCTACTGAAAAAATTGTACACGAATCAGTGTTTCTACACACCTTTTGCAGCATCAGTTGGCAAAGTATTTCTTTGACTACCGCGATAGAGTGGTTGATTCTTTGTCTTGTTTCCGTACGCCACGCGCATTAAACGACGTAACAGTCGCTTTTTGCGTGCCATGTGTCCCATTCGAACGTTACGAGCATAGGCCAAACTTGAGAGCAAGGCCACAACCTCCAGTTCGGACGGTTTGTCGAAAAAGCAATTGTCCTTGGCCATACCTGAAAGCTGAGCACTGGAAGTGTCACTTTCATGCAGCATCGGAGTCCTACCGATAGATTCTTGCTGGGTTCTTCCGAAATTCCACCTGGTTTCCCACTTTTGCCTATCTTCATCAGCTGAGGAAGTTGCGCGCGTGGCCGCATGGTAATGCTCGAACAGTAGCCGAGATGATGATGGTGTAGGTTCAGGACAAAGTAGCGCAGCTAGCCGTGCTAATCTAGGATGTGTTTGCATGGTGGGAAGCAAACGACCTTGACCAATTCGAGGGTTAAAGCTTCGGGACTTAAAAAAGTCACTCTGAAAGAGGCAAGATGAAGTGTTGGTCACTATCATGTAACTGAGTAGAGATAAATAACAATGAATAAATTCGTTTGTTTACTGAGGAGCGGTATAGGCGGGAGCGAAAAATTGAGACGAAGTGAGAGTATTCGATGGGGATACTGTTAACCATGTGTTGTGAAAAAGCGGCTTTGTTTCGTCGCATTTTAAATAAGTCGATTCGGTTCGGAATTTGATTATGCCAGCGGCTGTTTTGAACAAATGGGAATTATCATGGATGTGTACTCTGTGCATATTTATTACATGGTTGGCGGCATCTGGTTCCGGATTTACCTATCACTTCAGGCTCTATAAATAAATAAATACATAAATATTTTATTCTCGACTATAGGACAGCCACTGGGTGCCTGTGCTTGTAAAGGGACCATGGGGGGTTTGCGCCGCACCACACACCGCTTCATTAACACACCCCGTATCCAGTGTAAACCAGGAGGAATAAGACCGGGAGGCATGTGGATGCAGCCACGTTTCACCAACGGAGCCGGCCCACACACCTCGGGCAAACACAAGCACAGTTTATTTGGGGAATCTAGTGCGCACAGAGCGATAGTCAAGCCGTAGCCCGCTGCACACACAAACCATATGCTTGGAACCAATCTCTGGACCTAAGACGGTCATGAGGACCGTGGACCCGTACACCACAGCAACGACCAAGTGTTTCCTGCAGGCAGTGTAAACGAGGCGCAGGGTACTAGCCAAGTAGGCACCTTACCAACATGCACATCAAGCACAGCCACACTGGGGACTTCAAGTAACAGCCAATCACGAAATGATAAAATAAAATATATCGAATAGATCATACGGATTTGCCGGCGTCAATCTTCGGTAAATTAGTAAATGAAATAAATGGGTTATCAACAACTCCGCGATAAACTCAAGATGTTAGAAAAGATCAAAAAACATATGCAACAAACGGGAAAAAATTAAGGAAGTAAACCACCTTTCGATAAAGCGACGTATGCAAGTAAATACAAGATTATTCAGATGGACATAAAAAGGAGGTAACAAATTTAGCATTAGGACAATAAAACAAACCGGTCACCTGCAATAAAGAAACTCAACACGCAAGCGCTCGGTTAGTAAACCTAATGGAAATGCATGCAGCGCACCTACAAACGATGCGCCGCTTATGCATACGTTCTCAGCAGCACACGTCATGGTTTCGATACTGGTCCCAAGTGGTCTCGCTCGTGGCTCACTAGGCTTGCCTGACTCAAGCACTCGCGACCACATGTGCTACAGCAATTTTCTCCCGAGGTCGCTGGAGTACACTCCATCGGCGCCGTCGAGTCCGCACCGGCCACTTCTTCTCCTCATGCACGAGGGCTTCCTCCTGCACCTCGGCAAATGCTTACGCAATCAGATTGCGCCATGCACGCTGATCAACCGCCCTCGATTCCCAACCCTTGAACTAAATATAAGAAGGCGATAGGTTCACTTTAATCATGTCCTGCTAACGAAGCTTAGGTTTCCACCCATTTGGCTTCCCCACACGCAGCTGACCATATAATAGCTGCTCTGGTATCCTCCTCTAATCCGTACGCCACACAGGACCCGGCCACCTCAGGTGTCACGGCAAAAGTATGCAGTCCACTGTATACATTCCACATCAGTGCAACGGTTCCGTGTCCGCAACTCTGTCGCACCAACCAGTGCGCAGTATCTGTCGCAAACACTGTTGATGGAACCGCTCGAGAAATCGCACATGCTGCCAGTACATCGTCCAGGTTTCGCTGCCGTATAGAAGAACGGACAGCACCATACATTTGTACACCATCAGCTTCGCGCCAACGGTAGGTTGGTGGTTGTTGCACACTCGGTACTCTTGCTTCCCGAATGCCGCAGCTGCATCGATACTCGGATTCGCAGCTCACTGGGTAGTTGCTGATCAGTCGACACCACACTCCAGGTAGCGGAAGCGGGAGGTGGTTTCCAAGACTTCAGCACCAAGGCTGAAATGTGCAATATTAAAGATTGCAACTCAGCTGAAGGCTGAAAGAGACAGATAGTTTTGCTTATGTTGATGGTGAGCCCGAAGTAGGCAGCTATGGAAGCTAGAGCACTAGTCATGTGCTGCAACTCATCCGCGCTTTGTGGAAACAACACACAGTTGTCAACGAACAGCAACTTACGGATAGTTGTCTCACAGACTAGAGTTCTCAAATCGAAACAACGGATGTTCAGCAACCCACCATCAATACGGTGCTCCACACGAATCCCGGAAGCACAAGCGGCGTCAAAAGCACAAGACATCATGGCATGAAGATAAAGGTTAAACAGAGCAGGAGCTAGGACACAGGCTTGCTTCATACCAGTGACAACTGCAGTCATCCGAGGTCTCTCCATTCAGATGCACCTTCGCTCGCATACCATTGTGAAGGCATTCAATTAAATTTACAATTTTACTCAGACAACCAAAGTTACACAACACCAGCCACAGTACCTCTCGGTGAAATCAACAAACAGCGAGTGCAAAGGCTGGTGTCGTTCTCCACACTTCTCCTGCAACTGACGAGCCGCAAAGACCATATCTATTGTGTTTCTACCAGAACGGAATACACATTGCTCCTCCGCCACGTTCAGTTCCACAAGCTGACTAAGGAGGTGCTTGAGCAGGATTCGAGCAGTCACCTTGCCCACAAAACTCAGCAAATTGATACCACGGTAATTCGTGGAACATTGCTTTCTTTCTTTCTCCTTGTACAGTGGTATCACAAGGGCATCTTTCAGCTCTGGAGGAAACTGCTTCACAAACCACAAGCTTTGCATCAAGCGGTGCAGCGCATTCATCAACACGGGTCCGCCGTGTTTATATGCTTCAGGTGGGATCCGGTAGGGCAGGGCAAGAAGTTTTCGGATGCACAAAATGTTGTATTTTTTGCGAACTAAGCATTACATTATCTCGAAGTACTCTCCACCAGCGTTCATGCAGGGGTCCACACAGTGAAACCATTTAGAGAAGCAGCTAGACCATGCCGAAGCGGTTAACCCTTCAAGAAACTCAATAAAGGCCTCTACTGCAGCTTCTGGAGACTGGTAGCGGATTCCACGCATCATGCGCTTGACAGTTGGGAACACCAAATGGCACACGGAGCCACTTCTGGACCGTAGGGTGGGTGAGCAACCTACTGGATATGTTCTCTAGTCAGAAAATCATCGACGACATGGGACCAGTGCCTTATCATGGTGCAGCAAAGGCCCTCATGCTCGAGTCCCAGGACGACTCCTGGCTACAGCTTCCAGCACTTGTGGCAGACAGTGGGTAGCATACCAGTCTCCGGTAGCAGTGCGTTGCCGTACGACCGGTACAGTAGCCACCTGATCGGTCATGACCACGAACACAGTCACCATCTGCTTGGCCACACTGCGCTCACGCCGGCATTTCTGAGGCAGCGCCCCAGCAATGGCCGTCATCTGAGCCCAATTTTTGCTTGATCTCTGTGTCGAAACTGTACATCCGGATCTCATCACCACTGAGGATCTCCCATACAGCATTGGAACGTCTACCACCAAACCTGGCAAGCATGGCGCGACAGCCATTCACCCGGTCTGCGTTCTGGTCCTCATTCAGCTGATGGGCTACCTAGCTTGCGCAAATCTTTCTAAGGCCGAGGTTCCCCTGTAGGATGGTGCGCATTGATCCCGACTAGCCCCCGATGGTTTTCCGCAACTGCACTACAGTCACTCGCGCGTCCTCCACCAGCATCGTTTGCACAGCAGCAATTTTGTCCGCGGTGGTGATTTCCACAAATCGACTACACCGTGTCTCATCATCAAGGGACCGCCTGCCATGATTGCATCCATAAACCACTCAAACACGGTGGTTCTTGAAGGTGTATCGTCATCAAACACAATCGCTCAACATTCTGGCGCTGCTTTAAGCCACGTGTGTAGTCATGAAAAATCATCGCCTTCCGGTGACGTCGACTGAGTTCCCTACTTACGGTCAGAATATAGCGACCTTTATAACTTGTGTGCTATGCTGGGTAGCTGATATAGGGTACTGTGAGTTTAAATCACTGAACAATGTTTAGAATGGATTACGGTTTAAATTTTTCTTGCCAAATCATCTGTACCTAAGCTGTGTACTGCGTATCCGGAAACTTATTGCTCTGCCCTTGCATAACATACATTGGTGTATGGGCCGATGAATCACGTCAGTGTATATCTTACCGGGTTATCGTTCTTCTTTTGGATAGTAAATGATTGGTCTTTATCATAGTCTTTGCAACACAAAAAACTAAGATTTCATATCGCATGAATGCTTAAATTGACGTAACCATTTTACTAGTCACTGGAACAAAACTGAGTGAACACGGTTTAGTATGTGTGTTTTGAATTACATGAAGTCTGATACTCACTTCACTTGTGCTTTCCATGGATCCTGTGTCCTGTCTGGCCAACTGTTCATCGAACGACAAGAAAAAGAAGTTCCAGTTAAGGTTACTCTATCGATGTAAGTAGCAAGTCGCTTGGGAATGAAACTGGGCGTTTCGTAGAGGCAGAGTGCTAGTGGCAGGGATATGAAGAGCATTCGCCTCAGTTGCAGATAATAAATTGTGCAACTACAAGTGCGAACCAAATTACTTTCATTCGTGCGTATTTCTCGTGAGAGCAACAAACCGTTTCCAAGTAGGAATGGCGCCTTTGTGCCATCAGTTTTTCTGCTAGTAACAGCAGGAATGCCGGTACCGAGCTTAGATCTCGTAATTTCAACACAAGAGGGTTGTTTAGTTAATGAAACGACATGTGTTATTAGGCTGGTGAATGCGCTTGTCATTGGACTAGGGTATAGCGTGAGTACTTTGTAGTGCTCAGCCGATCACTTGAGCTTTCGTTGTGCAGTGGTGTATTGAAGCCAATATAACAGAATAAGCGTTGTCTAATGTATTTGGGGACTTCGAGGATAATGATTCCTTCCTACTTGCTACAACTCGGCTCTACGCAGACTTCAATGTAGATTCCTGTTGGACACTGGATGTGGTGCTAGATGTGGGGCCACTGAAGTTAAGGGGCTGTCCTAAGCTAAATGTAGGCATCTAGGTATGAGAAACAGAAAGCACAGTTTAAGGACTGCACGACGGCGGTGATTAGAAATTGCGACTGAAGAACGCACACAGAAACTGAATTGAATCTTGTTTATATATTATCCAACGGAAGTTGATTCCATTATCCATCATGGGACTCCAGAATTTAGCAACCGTAAGGTGATGACGACAGAAATATAGATGTGTCCTGATTAAGTTCCAAGAAGATGTGACTGTATTTGAAAATCGATGACTCGCATACGTCAACCCTGATCTCCTAGGACAGCTTTTCCACTAAAGAAACAGAAGTTGCCGGTTAGCTTCTTTCTTAAGACTTGGAACACTGCATAGTTTAACTGCTATTTAGAAACGTGGAATATATGCATAAAACTAGCTGCACATTTACCTGCAATGTAGTAAAGAGTACGATTATTGGGTCAGATAAACTACATCTTTGAACATGCCGTTCACTGCAAACCCATGAGGTTACAAAATCCGCTTAGAAAAGAAGATGAAACTCGTGTGCAGTGTGTTTTTCCATTACTTCAGCCTTATATAATTTTATCGTGATAATTGCTTAGTGACAAAACTTTCGGCTCTCGAGTATGTAAGTTGTTGTTTGACCACAAACACTAAAATGCGCAACACAACAGTATATACTATTTTGCCAATAATGGATACATCGATTAACTCAAGTGAATCCACAAGGCAAGAAAGCTGATCCGCTATACATTCAAGATCAATTTCAACTCTTTAAATTTATAGTTAATACCAAAGTGCCAATGTACCTTGCAGTGTGCACAAACGTAGAGGTTGGTACATTTTAATCCCTAGAAATTCTACAACCGTCACGGTAAACTGGAGCATTCCGACTGCGTCCAAGAAAAATAAAAAGATTACTCACAGATTTAGTAGCATCTGTTTACAGGTCCTGTTGACTGGGCTAACTGCAGCTTTCCTCAAAGTTTTACTAAGGACAGACTGTACATTTTTGTAAGGCAATCGTGTTTTCTGAACATGTGAAGTATTAGTTCTGCACTCCGCGTTGTTCCCACAGCTCGAGTTTTTGGCGGCTCGCGAAGACAAAGTCTTCCTCCTGGAGGCGGAACCGAAGGGTAATGCGTACTGGTGAAGTGCAGGTGACTGATTGCGTCATCCAACCTCCTCTCAAAAATAGCCACTGTCAGCGCAGAAACGACCCATTTAGACAGTGAACTTCGAGGGTATCTTCCACGAGCAAAAAGAGATCTGCGGCATTAGAAGTGGCTGTGATGTTTCGTATATTTCAGGCAGCGACCCATCGAGCTTGTGTGCAGAACTGCTTAAGCGATTGTCACGTCACCATCTACCTAATAAATCCAGCCATTTCACTTTATGCTTGTATTGGAAACAGCGCATTCTAACAAACTAATTAGAATCCCGGATTTGAAACTACTTCAGAGTGGTACAGTCGCGTTCTAACCATGGTTAACAGGCTTGTGTTGCGTATTCGACGTAAGGAAGGGCATAAGCGAATAGCAGTTGCCGGAAAATACAGACGTCCATGTGCCCAAACGCCTTCCTTCAATGTTAGACACGTCGCTCCACATGTCATCGGATTGCTTAGAACCGTCTACTTGACCTAGATAACTTTAGAGGAAAGAGCGCGGTAGTGTATGTGTATCCAATCTGTAGGAGTAAACACTCTAGTGTCATACGGGGAGTACCTTGATTTTGCCTAGTTTGAATTATAGCAGATTTTAGGTTACTGATTTATACACCAAATAGGGGTGATAGTAGATTGGCATTTATCCAAATTCTTTGTTATGTCTTGACATATGCGGCAAAGTGTTGAATTTGAGGCAATCAGTTATGCGAATTTATTACTGTTTGACAAGGGCGATTCTAGCACCGCTCTATCCGACATTCTGTATTCGATATTCTACTTAATTACGGTCAGCTGGACAGCATCGGAGGTAACCCAACCACTGCCGGTGAATCAGGGAGTTGTTGATACAACTCAAGAGGTGGTCACCAACTCCGTATTGCTAGAGCTTGGATAGCAGAATCCGATGATCTAGACGATCTAGTACCATCGAAAACTCTAGCTATTTTATGTGACATTACTCCCTAACGTCTGCTAATTCAGCCCAGCTATCCCGTGTAATGAGTACGCTGGCGGTGCACGATCGCTATCGACGGAGGCGGCGCTGTTCGTGAGCGCCGTCATAATTTTCGAAGTAGGTCAACAACGCATAGACAGTCATGGATTTCATAAAGCTGAATAAAACTAAATGAAGAGTAACTGCTGCCTTCTTTTGGATTAAGGTATTAATACTAGGTTCCTAATGGTAGGACCCTGGTTCTGACACAAACATCCACGTCAGTTTCTTACTTCCACTCTCAGTGTATTTAGGTGAATGGTCTTTACTCTAGGAAGCTTGCGTCTGTGCAGGCACGTCACGTACTTCAAAGCAGCTTCAGTGGTAAACCATCCATTTCGGTTGGGCAACAAAAGTGGGGATATCAAATGACGCCAACACTCATAAAAATGTGAAAGCACTTTGCATTCGCAGAGAGTTGGCTGCATCTATGACCTTATCGTTGGACCGTTAGTTGTGCTCAGCGGAGGAAATCCCTGATACGCCATTCAGAGATCATTGCTATACTTATACAGTACTTCACATTTGTCACAGTAAGTTCTTAACAAGTTCCGCTGCTGTGTCAATGCGTCTTCTGGCAACAGCTTAGTGCGTGGGTAAGGTTTGATTTTGTAAGCGTTCCGAGTGTTGAGTGTCGTGGAAAGTGCATGCGTCCCGCATGCTGTGTTATGTCGCTACACATTTCCAAATTCTGCTCCTCACAAAAGAAACTGCTTTGAACCCCTCGCAGACCATCGTTTCTAAATTATTTTCGATCAGGTCATCAAACCTACTGAAAAAATCCATTTAGTTGGCTCTGGAAGAATGAACAGGATTCAGTGTAACTCTCAACACGCACTTCCCGGTTGGTTCGGTCCTGGGTTGGGCTCCTCAGGTAAATTTAGTTGGACCTGATCGTGAAACCAACGACTAAGGGGTTATTTCCTGACAACTGGATCACTAATTCACTTAGGTTCTTTGTGCTAAACTTGGTGCAACTTACTCTGGAGTACTCGTCGTCACTCATAACTACCTTGGTTCCACCCGAAATTTGCCTATCGCTGTCTGATGAGTTCAGGCAAGAAGGAACTAGTCTTGGAGTGCAGTATTAGGGTGAGCAGCATCAAAAACTATCCGCTTTGGCTACGGTCACAATGATCGGAATGAACGAGGTCTACTTCGAGGTAAACCTAGGTTCCAGTGGGGAGTGTATTTCGCATTCCAAACGCTACTGTTTACTGTGAAAGACCTGGGAAACGCCAGGGACTGAAGTTCATGGACTGGAACCACAAGAATCAAACGCACTGAGTATAGTAGATATCTCGCACTTTTGCAGTCTGCTTGAAACAAAATGGGGTATTCTATAGGAGGATTTGTGGCATAAAATTTATCATGAGGCCATTACTGATGTGTTTAAAGAATTCATGTCCTCCCTAAGACACGTGAACAAGGCCACTGCTGCCTTTTTTCCGATACGCTTAGAATGCAACTTTCTAACTATGCAGAGATAAACACGAAATCTTGTTTAAAAATAATAATTGTAAGCATAATGTGCATTTACTAAGCATAATTATTCCAACCCGTCACGTACCTTCTCCTCTCCATCCGGATCCGTAACCACAACGGTTAAAGGGGAGCGTCTGAAAGCCTTATTGCTGCTCCACCGTTCTTCAATGACAGAAGGGGTGCCCGTGTTCTGAAAATTTAAATTCGGATACTTTGATATGGGCCTAAGTTACGGAGTGTTGCTAGAGGATATTTGCACTGTTTAAATAACGTGAAAGTCAGAGTATATTCCGTCATGTCTACACGTATTCCCATATGCCGTGATCCTAAATGTATATACTTTTCGCAATATTTTCAAACCTCGCGTTTACTACCATAGCAAGCTTTTAACACAGTAATCGTAACTCCGAACTTTAAACCGTCTAGATTATCGTGGTCTCTATGAGCAACGTCCATTGTATGATTCCTGAGTGATGAACATACTGGGATATGATTAATAGTGGGCGTCATACTGTACTGCCTTCCGAAACTCTCCCCTTCGGATGTGGTCCCAGTGCTCGAAATGGCATAGGTTTGCTTCAGAGCAAACTATAGGCGCAATCGACGTTGCTTGGTGCAATCCAAGTCACACGGCGAGTACTCCAAGACCAAATAATAACCCACATAGGGCAATTGTTGGAACGCATAACCGTGGCACAGGACTACTTCTTGTAACCAGCCGTGGAGTGGTTGGTCAGTGACCATGAGTTTGGTCCTGTGATTGTGGTGTTCGGCTAACACAAATGCTTTCGACAGCACTTACTCAAATCGGCTGGCACATTAATATATGACTAATGCAGGCATTTGTCTAATACCAGTTGTCTACTGCCAGGTATATTAGCTTGTATCAGCCGATCACATCCACATGACTCCCGGTCTTATTCCTGCTGGTTTACACCGGATATGGGGCGTGTGGGTGGAACTGTGGGTGGTTCAGCCTAAGCCACCCATGGTCGCTCTGTAGGCGCAGGCGTCTTGTGGCTGGCATACTGGAGGCCACAGTGACAGGCAAATCCGGATACGGATGCCGCCAGTCCATAAGCCGATCCGTGTATAAGCCGATAGTATGAATTGGTAACATCAAATTTGTCCAAAATCATATGTGCGTATATTAGCCGACACCACCAAAAGATCAGCAAAATAAACGCAATCGTTTCTCATGATTTTGACTTCATCACTACATGCTCTCACTTGAGTGCGCTCAAGCGAAAGCTGCTCCACTGTTGGTCAGTTCTGGCGAAGTACGGTGCTATAATCGCAGTTAATAAAGGTTATAACCGTCAGAACAAAGCTTTTAACCGCACAGATGATGATATTCACTCTGATGTGCCAACGACAGCCGACCAGTACCAGAAACTGTTTGAAGATTCTGACTCGGATTCTAGTATTAAAAGATTCGAGTAATTTTAATACCATTGTAATCGTTTGGATATTTGAGCTTATAAAATCTACCAGAATCTACCAATAAAATCTACCAATGTGATTCTGTGTGATGGTGTCCGATTCTGTATAATTAATGTGTTTCGGTTGCTGCCATCCGTCGCGAAAGTCAAATGTGCAAAATACCGATAATTTTCGACACAGACGTAATGTGTCTACGAATAAGCATTTCAAATCCCTGCCTGGGATACCGGCTGTCATTAGTGAGCGATGTAGTGTGTGCAGTGAATTTCTGGGTGGATGTTGCACTTGATTTTTTAAAATTGCGCATAACCTTTGTATAAGCCAAGCCCTACTACAGACATGAAAAGTGTCCAAAATTCCTCGGCTTATACACGGTAATATACGGTACTTTCTATCAACAAGAAATGAATGGGAAGTTTTCGCTAGTTGCACGGAACCACCCTTACCACTCCACTTATTTTAAGAATATGTGAACTATGAGATATGCTTGATGCTGCTTTTTTAAGATAGAAATAATTTTCCTTATGATCACGAACCTTAGGTACTTTATTGTTACAGAACATATTTCTGGCACTTTCATCCAGTAACTGAACTGAAGAGTAATTTAATTTGTTTGATCATTGATGCTCGACCAAATTAACATGCTTGTACGGGGCACCTGCCTTTTTCACAATGTGCCGTGCGGTCGCAAAAATACTGTCCTCCTGCGTTATTCGCCTCCAAATCTTTGGATTTATTCTCACAGAGACCTACGTGCCATCATTCGATTTGGCTCCGCGAGCTCCTCCTACCACTGTTCATCTATTGGATCTATCATTCACGGATCACCAACAAACTGTGCTCTTGGAACTTCGAAGTCAACCGTATTTGAAGCTTATCGGATGTTTTATTTTTCCTCTCGTCGCATAAGAACTCTTGTGGTCTTATTTTAAAGATCTTTTTGAGAGTCACCCGATCAGCTTACTACCATTCCTTCAAGTCGCTCTACAAAGCGATAGTCGTCAATTTGATCCGCCCTTGGAACTGCCACTGTCGTCATTAGACAGTATTTTCCAAGTCACCTTGCTTTGCCTCAGTCGCTTTGCCTCGCATCGCTGCCTACCCTCTACCGTCTGGATCGATAGCACGCACATCGCCTATCCACCCTAAAGAACGCGTGACTCATCTGGCCTCGACACGCCTGGACCTGCTGACCTCAAACCAGCGCCGATCGCCACGCAACGGTGCGTCAGTATCTCCATCCTCTTCCTACCCCTACTGAGAACATGTCTCGTATGAAAAGCAAATGCGAATCATGTGCCAAAGTGGTAAAAAGTGGTCTGGTGTGTACCATGTGTTTGAAAACCTATCACACTACCTGCCTTGGGAAGGGGTCGACGGAAGCAAACACCGCAGAGGCGCCTTGGTTCTGCCAAGTATGCAAGTCTATTCCATTTGTTAGCTGTCTATCTGTGCTACTGAAGAGGTGTGAAAGACTAACCGAAGCGGTCGAGCAACTGGTGAGCGCCAGAGTTACACCCATGGGAGGAAACGGACCTGCACTTGTGAGTGAAAATAACACCCCGAACTCCCTAGTCAGGCCGAAGAAGCGAGCCAGGCGTCCCAACCCAACCCCAACGACTCAGCCTCCAGCAGTATCAACTCCATTCTCTCTCCCTCCTATAAGTAAAAACAGTGCCTGCAGCGCGCCTGCCTTAACTTCTGTACTGTGTGCTGCACCTAGTAGTCTGTTCACTACACTCGAGACTGTAAGCTACAGTCAACCAGCAATGGTGAACAACCCGGCAACGTACGCATCGGTTGCCGCCAAGCAAACACCGGAAAGAGCACCGGTAACCTTTGTGCCCGAACTAGAGAAAACAAAACTGCCGCAGCACGGATGGCACACACCAATGCCGTTCACAAATTCAACAAAAACACCAGATACTAAGCCTCCAAATCCAAAACCAGTAGCCACCAGGCGCAACCATGGTGTCCTAAACATTGTATGCACAAATGTCCCCGAATCCAAATCCAATACAATTAAGGGTAAGTTGACGGACGATCGAAATCAGTGGGGTTCCATCTGTACGTCGATCGGAGTCCATGCTAATCCCACGACATTAAAAAGAATCTCGCGCCACCCAAACGCGTTGCACTACGGCGAACCCCGGTTACTTCGGGTAACACTAAACTCGGCGGACGAGACTGAGGCCGTTCTGCTGTCTGCGAATCGTCTCCGCAACGACTCAAGTGGAGTGCGCATACTACCCGAAATCCCGTGGAAAGAACGTTCAGGGGATCCCGCTAACAAAGATAGGTACAGAATAAGTCAAGATAAGAAAACAGTGATTGCTCACGGTGTTCCTGAGCTTACTGACTCCTCTTCCGACGATGCCCAGATGCATGACCGCGAGCAATGGCACTACATCCGGGAGGTTCTTTCTCTCGAAAATGTGGTGGTCACCTCGTTGACAAGGATCCCCATATCACCAAACTATAAAGGATGCGGTCCCAGGCTCTTAAAACTTGTGTTACAGTCAGAACAAATGGCACAAACCCTACTAGCGAACTGGATTAAATTCCGTTGCAGATTGCCAACAGAAATTCGTCTGAAAGCAGCAAGAACACCAACACCTTTTAATGACAATTCAGTAGAGGCACAACTCTTAGTGAAAACGCCAGCTGCAGGACCCGACTCGGGGACGGTTTCAAGAGTAGCCATACTATCCGGAGGGGCACAGCAGAGCACGAGCAAACACCGGGATTCGGAGCATCTGATACCTGCTTATATATCAAATACTTCTCGAGAGTATGCAACCCATCCAAAAAACGATTAGTCGCCGACCCTTTAATGGTCGGCGTAAACTCATTTGCTTCATCCATCCATCCAGTCGCCGGCCACTCACTGGTCGGCGAAACTTCACGTATGAGTTGTACAACTTCTGAAACATTGATTAAATCTGAGAAACTTTCATGTATGTACACCAACGCCCAAGGGCTCCTCAGTAAAATTAACGAACTTCGACTACGTCAGGTTGCGAATGCTTGGGACCTAATTTCTATTACCGAAACTTGGTTACATCAAGAGGTGACTGATGCTGAGGTTGAGATAGCCGGAATGTCACTCATCCGGAACGACCGCCCCAGCAGAGGAGGTGGGGTCCTACTCTACTACCGCAGCGATCTACAATGTACAATAGTTGAGGACCTGGAAACACACGTTACCGACTCACTCTGGTGCCGTCTCCGACTGAGACACAACGACACATGTCTCATAGCTATCGTTTACCGCCCCCAACGTCCACTCTGGAAATGGATTCCTGCTTGATCCGTGGCCTAAACAGAGTAACACGCACTAGGTACAGCCACATTCTCATCTCCGGGGACTTCAATCTACACAATCTGGAGGTTTCGGCATCGCCCAGTGAGCAGTTCAAAGCAGACTTGCAGGAACTGATCGCTAATATTCCTTTGTACAATCATGTCACCACGCCCACTAGATTCAGGACAGCAAACAAACCGTCCATATTGGACCTTGTGCTCACAAATGAAGAGCTCATGATTGACAAGTTATTGATGGATAGTCCATTAGGTCTCAGTGACCATGTAGTAATAACTTTTGAATATGTGTGTTATGCAGAGTATCCATCTGAACACTCGGAACTAACTCATACAATCACACGCTACCACGTATTGAAAGAACTCGCCGACGCAGCTGCTTGGGAATTCTCAAACAAAAGTCCCCTTGACAACGTTTGGGCAGAG